GTTCTTAGTTGTGTTATAAGACAGTGTTAAATCATATTTCCCCTTTCCAAACTACTAATGTGTTGAGATTAATTGGAGGGAAAGTGTTCTATTGAAGCGTAGTTTTTGTTTAACATTTTAACTTTTTGTAGCTGGCAATTGAAAACATGACAGGAAAATATATAAATATATTTATCCTTTTTTATAATTTTGCTAGCTTAGAGTGGGCAGACTGACTCATGTGCACACAATAAGAAACAAAAGATAACATTTTTAAGAGGAAAACAATGACATGGTTGGTTTATTTCTTTTCTGGGGGGTCCCTTTGAGAATGAGGGCGATATTTTTTGTTGTTTTTGAGATTTATTACTGTTTGTTTGCCATTTTGGAGCTTTATGACTCGGGTGCAGCCACTGTGGAACTGCAAAATGGTGCAAAAGAGGGTGTGAGTGCAAGTGTGTGTGTGTGTGTGTGTGTGTGTGTGTGTGTGTGTGTGTGTGTGTGTGTGTGTGTGTGTGTGGGGCGTACGTTTGTGTGTGTTAGAGCAGCAGAGAGGTGGGCTGAGAGGATAATAAAGAGAAAATACAGGGCTGATAGTGAAGAAGGTAAAATATAGAGGACAGGTTGATTCAGTGAGAAGGAGGGTAAAAGAGAGAAGCACAAAGGAGAAAGAGTGAGAAATTAAGGGGAGGAGTGTCAGTGTTCTTTGTGTGAACAGATAAGAAGGATGAATGCATGCAGGTCAGTGAGTGGTGGTCAGACATCATCTGATTGGGCTTTATCTCTGTTGGAACCAGATCAGCCTTTGAGAGATAACCCTTTTGTTGTTTGCCCTTGTCTCCGTGTGTGTGTTTCACTGTGTGTTTGTTTTAATCAGGGGGAGTTTGGTACATTGACACAAGGTGACATGGACTAAGTGCACAAAAGAAAACTGGTTATTGACAGACATCTGGTTGAGGCATATAATCTTAAGATCATACGCACTCCGATCACCTGAAATTAATATTGACATGCAGATTGTCCCCTACAACATTTAAAACTCAATACTGGCTGAAATGAGTTAATAATAATAATAAGTAAATAACAATAATAACTGTTGAGCTGTGGAAAGAGACCTTATTTACGAATTAACTTGAACTATTTGTATACTTTAAGTCAGATTTTGAGTTAAATTGCTGAGGATAAAAAGACACAATGATCTCTTTCAAAGTGCTAAGATGCATGTTTAAGCCCGTTAGAAAGATATACTATAAAAGGCCAATAGCAGTTTACATAGCTGTGTCCCTCTTAACTCCATAAACAGATAAGGATAGTCAGATTGCTTACATCAAAAGAAATCCTTTAAATGCAATAAAGGGACAGTAAACAAGACGGTTTAGGTGAGTTTTAACCCTCTGATTCTCAATATTAAATTTTAATTAACTAAGGAAGGAATCAAGACACTATATACAGTAAGTAGGAACCTGAATCTTGCACTGAGTATTGGACGAACATCATATCAGAAACACCTTTTAATATAATAAAATAGTCGATAGCACCACAGAGTGTAGCACCTCTTTATACAGTAGATAAAAAGTGCGAGTCTAAAGTCCACCTCAAAGGACTAAAGAGTGATTGTGCTTTGAAAGACTCAATGTTCTGTAGATGTTTAAAGTTGCTGTATTCAGGCCAAAGTGAAAACTGTGAAGCGCATAATGTACTACAAATGTTTTAGTGAGTCCCCTCAGTGCATGTGGACCATAATGAGGTTTTATTCCAACTGAATGACTCTATCCATGTTTGTTTGACATTCATAAAATAGTTGTAAAAACATAGTTGACGTTTTGTTATTCACAATATGTTAAGATGCCAACATAATTAACCCACAGTATGTCCTACAAAGTGTCCCTGACAATACCACAAAGGGCTGCCCAAGCAATAGTGACGCAATTATCCTTTGCCCCCCTCCAAAACAAAAAACAGATTAAAATACATCAAAAAAGGGATTAAAGAATCTGCCGACACCCTTAAACCCTTCAAAGGATGTCCAACTCTATCAAAGGATGAGCATGCTAAAATGTGAGGCGACACACATGACACGTGAAGAGTGTCACTTTATCATTTCTACTTCTGTGAGGAGGGAGAAATTAGATTTCAGCGAAACACGATATGAGAGCAAAGCGATGAGGGGCCTGGGTTATCTATAAATACCACAGATGCGAACAGGTGAGAACGAAGGGGGGGGCAGACAGGAGCAGAAACAGAGGAAAATTAAGACTGAAATCTGATACACTCGAATAGTCTCATCTACATACTTAGAGGTCAGAAAGGCAAACAAAGAGACTGCAAGATAGAGTGTGAGAGACAGCAAAGGGGCTGAATTAATTCCTTCTCTCATTTGGGGGTTTCCCTGTTTAGCGGGGGTGAGATGGGGTTCACCTCCAGCAGTTCCTAAGGGGAGGGGGTTCAAAGCGTGCGGGGGAGGAGGGACAGCTCTGTTGGGGAACAGCAGACAGTAAAATGGGATTTCTTCTATACCCTTTTTTTTCTCTTACAGATACTCAAACTGAATACATAAGATTGAGCTCCACTCGGCCACACTGTCTTCTTCTTCTCCCCCCCACCTCTTTCTTAGAAGAAGTGGAGGAAGAAGAATTGGTGCGATGAAACCCTCTTTAATGGTCACACAAATGTCACTGTGTGCTGTGTGCTCTGCATGTGTTCTGAGGCTGCTTGTGTTTCCTCAGTATCTGACTGTGCACACACAGGATCAAACACACAGAGGCAGACTGGATGACAAAGCCAGAGCAAAGAGGAAACACAAGGCAGAGAGAGACTTCAAAGCTGGGCAATTTAGAGAATAAAACATGTCCTAACAACCACAATACCCTATTTTAATTAATGCATACGGTAATCACCACCGAGAAAGGAAGATAAAGCTGTTTACATGATGTTATAATGTAGTGTCCTCAGGCTGGTTTATACGCAATGTAGTTATGTGGCACATTTCTTACATGTTGATCTTTCTTTCACCTACTAGGAGTTTGTGTTAACATGTGTCCTACTATCCTAGTCAATGACTCTCACATCCCCCACAAACACATTGTGCATATTTTAACACCGTCAAATAAGGAACATGCAGAGAGCAGTGGAGAGGTGGGGCTGTGAGGCTGAGCGCTGTGGCGATGTGTGGAAGTGCTCCTCCACAAGACTGAGCCACACGTCTCCTAGCAATCAATCTCAGATATTACCCCGGCATTTGTCAGATATGCTCCCTGCCACGCCAGCCATCCGAGACTCATTCCGTCATTACATCTGAGAAGTCACGCCCACTCCGCCCCCGCCTGCACCATCGTTCCCGGGTCTGACGGCGGCTTAATGGCCTTCTCTCTCAACACCGCAATTAACCTTTTTATTGGCCACCTGCCAGCCAGCTGAAGATACATCAGCTGTTGTGCATGTGTGTGTAAGTAGAGCCATAAATGCAATAGCTTTATTGTGTTCAACACTTGTGCGCGTATGAATGTGCACAAAGCCATAATGTTAATGAATTTCCATGTGAAAAGTGCGTTTGTGTGTGTAATAGCTGACACATTTCACTTGCTCTCCCATTCAAGCAGAAATTGATTGAATCTAAAAATCCTATCGTGGTTGACCCAACCAGATGCAGCTGGCTGTGAGCAGTCTTATAGCAGAACTCGTCTTGGCACACAATCTAAAAACGTTCCCTCGGCATCCCACATCGATGCAGCAGTGATATTAATGAAGCGCTGGGATGGATTGTGTTCAGTTCAGCTGAAAAGACTTGGAGATGCACGCGGATATTACGAACACACAAACGTTTTTTTCTTTTGTGTGCGTAGACAGTGAATAGCCTACCTTTTGTCAAGGAAAGTCGGTCACGTAGCACATGCTGCTAAACAAATGACGCAAAATATATTATCAATCACTCAGATGGTAATAAACTGCCTCATTAACTTCTTAACCTATGAGAAGAAACAGAATCAGAGTCAGACATTGTCTTCACACAGGCACTCAGTATCCGAGAGCCTTACACTGTACTATCCCATTGTCAACAAGAGGCCTCTCTTTAGCTACTTAAAATCTGGCAGAGCCCTGCTGAGCAGAAAGCACACAGTAAGTGCATTCTGTGGCTCCTCCAGCTGCAAATTGAATTTCAGACACAAAACACCTAATAATCCCACGTCACTTGCTGTTCCCAAACTGAACAAGGTCACATTGTAGGACTAGTAATGGGGGGGGGAAAGCAACCCTTTTACAAGCATTTATCCAGAAGAGCAATGCATTCATGCTCCAGCAAGGTGAAGGATTTGATGGTAGAGAAAGTACAAATGGCTGAGGAATTCAAGGACATAAAACAATCGTCAAGACAAAGAAAATCCTTTTCACAGCTACAGATGTTGTGTGGGTGTATATTTTTTCACATAACGTGAAGTAGAAAACATGTCAAAGGAATGCTTGGAGAAATAAATCTTTATACCACAAAAAGTCTCACATTGTTATCACATCAGCCGTGGAGGTTAAGTTTTCGGCTCGTTTTGTGTCCGTTTGTCGTTCAGCAGAATTAGAAAAAAACAGATTTTCATATAACTTGGTTGAATTGTGACACATAGGCCAAGGAACAACCAATTACAATGTAAGATTGGATCCTCACAAGACTGATGATTACAACAGTTTTGTTCATTTTGTGATATAAGGCATTTTTGCATGCTCATTTCAGCGATGGTGCTGTATTCATGTGGGGTAAGGAGAATTGGGAAAAAAAATTCCAAGTTGTGTAAACAATGCATTGTTTACATGATCTGAGCTATGAAATACAACAAATATTCTTTGCTCATGATAACACAATTGGGAGGGAAAGAAATGGCCCAACTAGGGAAATGAGACCATCAAGGAACATTCCCAATTGATGACAAATATAGGGTTTGTAAAAACAATTAACAACTGAAGCTTAAGTTTAACAGTGTGTTCAAGTTGTACACAATACATTTGTAACACCGGGTCAATCTGGCAGCCCTTACCTGCTACTGAGAGACGAGCCGTCTGGCTGGAAATGGACCCGAGGTTGTCGATGGTGGCAACACACTGATAGGTGCCCTCGTCAGGCTTATTGTGCTTATTATGGGCGACGTGGGTGAAGAGCAGCGAGCCATCGGGAAGTATGTTTCTTCTCTCGTCTGAAATCAGGCTCATGAAGGTTCCGTCTTTCTTCCACTCTATGCGTGCCGGCGTGGCTGCGTCGCTGTGGGCCGAGCAGTTGAGCAGTGCCGAGTTTCCCCGGATGGTCAGAGTGTCCTGGGGCTCCACCGTGAACCAGAAGGGGCTGAAGGGCTGCGCTGCTGAACCTGGAGGGACACAGGGGAGGAGAGTTATGAGCTGGGTGCTCTTCACTGACACTAGGTTATGCTTTAGAACAAGACAGCTTGATTTTATTTCAATACTGCAACCTAAAAGCTTCAGCATGAGGTGTTGTACTACTACATAAAACTCAACCATGTCTGTGTAAATGCTTTAACATATACATGTATTATGCAGTGGAAGATTTAAGAAGAAGCTGTAAAATAGTGACAATCACATTGAAAAACATTGGACTACTACTGAAGCTACTTTTTGAGTTCAAGTACACAGCAGGTCAGAGCAAAACCACAACTTCTCGGACACCACTGACTTTGAACAATTTAAAACCCACTCACACAAAATGTGCCAGTGGATAAAGTGAAAGGGCACCACAGGACTCCAAGTGGCCCACACACTCAATTAAATGTTTTAGAGCAAAACATATTTTTGCTCATTCTATCTTTTCACCCACTGTGCTTCATTCGATCCAAGAAGCTCCAAGAGGCTTATCATTAAGAAACCACAAACCCCGCTGGAATTGGACGAGAGGAACTGACAAATTTAACCCAGTCTAGCCTCCCTGGCAAGTTAATATCATGTCTTGCTTTATTATAAGTAGACAGTGCAGCGAAGGAGTAAACACTTTGGAATGCGGTTGCCATTTCCTTCCTGGAGCATAAATGGTAACATCGCACTGACATGGATAGTGCCAAAGTCAGTAAGTAAGTGCGATTGCTTTGCATTTGTCCTCATCCATTATTCAAGCGCTCCCAACCTAAAAGTCACAGTGGTATTGTTTAGATAAATAACACCAATTATCAGTTCTGCAGGGATAGAGAAGGGCTAGAAAAATAATTAAGAGTGTATGAAGGTATTTTAATAATGCAGCGAATGTTGTGAAATGAGTTGCTGAATGTTAAATGCAGTTTAAAATATGCCTGCTCTCTTCCAAGGAAATGGCACGTCTCCAGGGGATAGCTAGACCAGAAAGATAGGAAGACAGAAAAGAGAGATGCTATGTCAATGGTTCAGCTATTTTACTACTAGGAGGTAATTTCTCTACCTTGCGCCACTAAGTCCCTAGTGTGAGATCCGAAGAGAGAAGCAATTTAATGCGTGGTCCATTATGGTGGCAATACGGCTGCTTGTCTTCAGTGTTCTTAGTTCTCTTGAAAGCACAAACAATTACAGCAAAACTCTGCAGAAAATCACTGAATTGAATAGGTATTTTCCACTTTCACATTATGGAATAGAGCCAAGACAACATAGCATTCCAACTATGATATGCAATAGTCTTTACACTAACTCTAAGATGGAGAAGACTAGTATAGAGAAAGGGAAAAGTTTGTCCTTCTTAATGGACAGTATCAGACCTTTGTAACACTGATTAGAAAGGTCCATTCATCTGAGAAAAAACTAGAAGCGTATCTTTTTCTTAGCTGCTTTTAAATCAGTTAATATCCCGCTCTAGGTCGGCCTCAGACAAGCCCTCGAACGTTGCTTCCAGTCATCCCGGTTCTCCATACATCCGGCCAGTTCATTGGTACTTTGTGCTCCTGCGTCATTCTTGAGAACGTCCAGGTATGTTAGTGCGGGACGTCCTCATGACCGATGCCCGTGTGTTGGTTCCCACAGCACCAATTTGCCGGCTGGCAGCTCTTGATGCCTTTGGCAATGTCCTGCTAGTCTCATTCTCCTGGCTGCAATTTTCTCGCTCACCCTTGGTATTCCCTCGTACAGGATCTTGTTGGTTACATGTACACTCTTGTTGATGTTAAGTACTGCTCGCAACATTCTGGTGAAGCATCCGTCTAGAGACTTTTGCATGGTTGGCTTCAGGGTCCAGCATTCACTGCCATAGAGGAGAACAGGCTCTACCGTTGCATAGAAGAAGCTAAGTTTGATTTGACCAGGGAGGTTGGAGTTCCATAATAATATGTCAAGTTTCAAATCAGACTTTACTGCAAGTAATGTAGCTTTGGGCTAAGAGCAGGTAAAGCAACATTTCAACAAACCAAACATTATTAGATCTGCAAATCCAAAGACGCTACAAGTGCTCAATCATACAATATTTTATTTTGAAAATCCCTTCAGGCAGAAGTGGATGTGAATAAAAAAAACTGTTGGAAAAAAGATATACCTCGCTTGAACCAGATTAACACATTTGCAAGTGTCACTATTAGCAGCAAGAGTATTTTTCTTTTGCTGATTTCAGAAAATCGATGAATTCAGCACGGCCTAGTGTACATATTGGTCAGAATGTGACCACCAGATAAATGCATTACACTGGTAGTGTACATGACAGATGGAGAGAGACCAAAGTGGGGTAGCAGTGGGGAGATTTGTCACTCCTACAGACCAGAGGCACCAAGCTTAATCATCTCTGCTTTACGCTGCTGGAACAGTGGGTGTGTGGGTTGGGCAGAGCTTCCAGGCTCCAGTCTGGCTCCTTTCCAGTCAAAAGACCATCTTCAGCCACTCTCTATCAGAGGAGAGAACGAAGGGGCTTGAGGGTCCTGCGGCATCCTATCAGAGCCAAAACAGCCGCCTTCAGCAGCTTTTTATCCCCGTCATAGGAGCAGTAGGGAAGGGCTTAGCTTAGCGATACTGTCAAACAAAATGGCGAACCATCTGTTTTCCAATGCAGACACAACATCCACTGTCAGCAGAGCAGGGCAGTGAAGAGACCAGTGTGGGGGTGTGTGTGTGTGTGTGTGTGTGTGTGTGTGTGTGTGTGTGTGGGGCTGATGTGCTCAATTACACAAACAACTCTTTTCACATAATAGATCCTGGATTGACCTTTAATACCAGAGTACCAGTTAAACACACATGCCAACTGACAAGAGAGTTGAAACCACGATACCCCTGGTAATGGTCAAAGTCCAAATTCCAATAACATAGGAACGTGCACTGCGCAAATATCAACTCAGGCCTCTGAACTTCAACCATCAGCGATTGCACTAAAGGAAGAAGCTGGAAACCCATGTCTGTGGTTAAATTAAAAGGTTAACAAGCCCAAACTGTCATTTCAGTATGAGTGTGAGGAAGAAAAGCAGGCAAGCTAAATGAGCCGGATAAGGCCAATATATCAGTGAGAAGCAAGGATATCCATCAGCAGCGTTTGATTGAAAAAAAACTCACTACAATAGTCAAAAATATGTCACCAACTCAGACTTTGGCAAGCTTCAACTTTAAGATCAAAGCCAAGGAAAAACAATGTTTGGCAACTAACAAGGTTGTGAGTGAATAGAAAAAAACGCTTCAGAACAAGCTACGTTCTCTTGATGTTTTTCAAAGTTTTCAGTCAAAGAAAACGTGTGTGTGAAAAAAAGTGTATGTTCTCATTAAAGTGCAAGGGAACATATCTAACTGAAACAATGTAATAAAATTTAGAAGTAGAAGAAGTGATTTGTAAAACAGGAAATTGTTGTCTCTTCTACAGAAACTTTTTGATCTCATAGAGTCATCAACTTATGCACAGGTGTAGATGACTGCAGCTTACGCAAAGTACACCTTAACATATTCATTTAAGGTGTTTTAGGCGGTTGCAAAGGAGAACGCACACATCTTTATGCAGGGATATAAGACAATTAAAACACTGCAGGCTTTTAACAGCTGCAGAGTTAAAGAAAGAAAGGGGGTGTCAGAAACCACATTACAGTGTGCCGTCTAATGTATTCAGACCCAGCAGTGTGGGAGACCCCGTTTGTCTTTGAGAAATAGAAAGCACCACACCGGGCAAGCAGTGAGAATGAGGTAGAGGCGAGCAAGGGGCTAGAAAATGAGGTTGTCTGCTTGATAAGTACGGGCCGTTACCTCTGTCCCAAATCCACTTTGCTCAGCAGTCATAAAAGGTTTCGGAGCCCAGCTTAAGGTGGTGCCATGATATGCTGCCTTGCCCTGTCTCGCACAGTTTCTCCTCTGCTCTCAAAATGAGAGAGACAGAATGGAGACGCAGTGTTTGTGCTGTATTTCCTATCCTGAGCCAACATTTTTTTTTAGATGTTACAAGCAGTCTTGCGAGGTAATGTTTTCACAACGTGAGTAAGGTAGTGTTGCTTGTTGGCTTACAACCATTCTGTCACAAGTAAACTTGAAAAAAATGGCTAACAACATGGATACGTGTATTTGTTTCTGAACCTGCCAATATCCAGTTCAAACTCTTGCACAAATATACACAGTCAGTCTCTAGTAATATCCTAGAAAAGGCAGTAAAAAGGAGTGTTCTCCACACAAAGACCCCCTGTTCTCTCCTTTTCTAACCTTGGCTCAGCAGGAAGCCTCCTCCCTCATTGACCCACCGGCTGAGAGCAGCCATATTGACTACCCTCCTTATTGAGCCGCTTGTGAGACAGAGCAGACCACTCTCAAGACCAGTCACCTTTTCAACAACAGAGCCCCTTATGTGGCTTAGACTTAGGGACAAGTCAAACACACTTGAACGGCATTTTGCAACCATTGGAAAATGGCAATAGACTTTAAAAGGCTATATTGTATTAAATATATTCTTATTATCAGTTAGAAATACACACTGTATTTCCTCTGTATAATGTGTCACTGGATTTCTGATCTTTTAAAAACTTTATAAGGGAGACAACCAACCGAGTATAAAATCATTAATAGCACATCGAAGATAAATGGGAAAACCTTCAACGCCAGTAAAGATAAAAGGGCGGGGGGTGATACTTTGCAATAAACCAGAGCAATTCATTCACTGAGCTGCTGCTTCTCTGTTATTTTCCATCCCCACTGTTTGTCCTTCCAACCTCGGCGTCAGGGTCGCTTTAATGACACTAATGGAAACGTTTGCCTACTTTTTCCCCTCCTTCATCTTTATACCTTGATTCTGTCCCTGCAGAATCCTTCATCTTCCCATCTCACCAAACCCCCATCCAAAGCCCATCTGTCACCAAGAAACACCTCAGGGAAATAAGAATGATCTTGAGAGCAAGTGTGCAGGGACTGTGTCTTTAATAGAACTGCAGCTAACTTTCTTTATTTGAGGTATGTATCTATTTGTGGAAAAATGAGAAAAGGTGATTAAACAGCGGTATCCTTGAGGTTGAGTGGCATGTCAACGCGGGTAGCATACTGCTTTTCATTTGTTAAAACTGACACTTGACTGGGCACTTGACTTGAAATTGAAGTCAAGATTTGAGTATAGTATAGAAAGAAATGAAGATTTCATTACCAGGTTAAGAGAAGAAAGGAAAAAGGTGCCTATTCATCGAGATAGATTAGTGTCTTCAATACTACAAATACATTAATCTCTTTAAATGAGTCTTGAGAAATATAAGGACCCATTTACACGGGAACACAAACGAAACAAACTCAATATCAAAAAAGTCTTCCGTTCACACGGATACGGCTCAATAAACGTGTCCCTTCACACAAGACCGATGCTGGTTGCCGTTCTGTTTATTCTCCGCGGTGGATTTAGCAACAAGTAGTTCATGTATTTCTCCATGTCCACTTGTTGCTGATGGTTGTGGTAGAGGAGCAGTAGATGTTGCACTAACATCTGTAGCATGGTAGCAGTAGCAGTAGCTACTGACCATGCTACAGCAGTGAGCAGCACACACACACACACACACACACACACACACACTCTCTCTCTCTCTCTCNTAGCAGTAGCAGTAGCAGTAGCTACTGACCATGCTACAGCAGTGAGCAGCAGAGGTGGGGAGAGGCGGGGCTATGGCTTAATGGTTATCAGGAAAATGATCATATAGGACGTACACACGGAGCCGTTTGGCCCCCCGGAGCGTTCCGTCCGCAGATTTATCCACCTCAGGATCCGTTTCGGCGGTTCCGTTACGGCCTTGTGTGAACGAACGGGCTATACGAAAGAGAAAAGTAGCGGATACAACACGTTTCCTTCCCGTGTAAACAACACCTAAGATGTGAAAAAAAAACAGGCTGGAAGGATAAACATTAAAGGAAAACTCAAGGCAGAGAGTCACAGAGGCAAACTGAAGTACAGGAAGGGTTGGATGACAGAAGAATTATTGGTTTCGCACTATTCCTCAGATTTGTAACACAGTTTTGTCAGAGTTAGTGTGGCTAGTCACGTATTTATTTTAAAGTTGATGCCAGGAACAATGTCTGACATGCATGATGGGGTAGCTATGATCATGGATACCACAACCCACAGATTCTAGTATTCTCAGCGTCCCCCACAGCAGTCGATGAAATGAATGGTTGGGGCCAAGCAATAAAGGGTTGAAAAATTTTTATTGGGGCGCCTAGCGCACACTGGTTGTCCTGTGCTGGCACTGACTCAACTGGCAGATTAAAAAAGGGAAAGGATCCAATTTTTTCAGCTTGCAGTTCTCTGTCATACAGTCTGCCCGTTGCCATTGTCAAACTCTGGAGGCCTGGAGAAAACATAACAGGGTCACATGCTGGACTGGGTCATTCAACCATCAGCTTTGGTCTCAATGGTTACTGGCAGAAAATGTCACTCTAATATAAATGTCAGTCTCTCTTTAATCAGATGAAGAAACAGATCCTACTCAAATGATTGGCTGGTTAATAGGATTAGTAAATGCTTTGAGTGCAATAGGCCGGCAAAATATAAAAATTCAAACCATGTCCAATGTTCAATGTGTTCTCATTCTGACCATTAGGGCATGGCACTCTCACCATTTAGTGATTGAGTGCTTAGTGATTAAATGGTATAAGAGTAAATACTGAGTACAGAATCCCTTCTTTTCCATAACAACCCACCCAAACTGAACTCCATTTCCTGTTTTGAAGTGAGAGGCTCAAGCTCAACACAAGACCACCTCGGACACAGAGCTCTTGTTGCAGATCTTAAAGGTCCCATGTCATGCTTTTCCGGTTATTACCCGTCCCCTTGTGTGTTATGAAGGTTTTTATGCATGTAAATGGTCTGCAGAGTCAAAAACCCTCAAAGTACACCCTGTAGCGAGTAAAAATCTAACAGAAAATACCTCTCCAAAACGCCTCGTTGGAGATTTCTCATTTTCCATTGTTTACTTCCTGGGTATCGCTACGTAGGTATCGGTATCGGTATTTTATATATTTTACATATTACACTGAGCAACTAGCAAACATAGGTTAGCATATTAGCTGGCAAGCTAACTGTGTTGATTAGATAGATACACACTCCTACCACAACTACTACTAACGAATCTAAAACACCTAAGTTTCTCTAACATTTTGTGATTTGCATTTGATTTCGTCCAGCCAGATCAGGAAACTCCTGGCGTATCTGGTGGACAACACATGAGAATGACCACTCTGATGCCTCGTCCTAAAAAGCCCCGGCAGCAGCTTGCAAAGCTGCGATAGGCAAGATGCCGAAAACGCCTATAAGTGGAGGAATGGATGATATACAGTGTATATATGTATATTTTTTACACATGTTCATTTTGTACATTTCTCAAAATAAAGTTTGATGGAAATACTTAGTAGCCTTTCTTCCCTGAATTATTTGCTCCTATAACATATCATTCATATATATAGCAAACCATGACTTGATTTTTCATCAAACAGTAGTAGTTTATTACAGGTAAAAATAACTTCTTCTTCTAGAACAGTTGTAGGTACAGTTCGGTTAGTTAGCGTATAAAATATACGGCTGTACTGACGCCATTGTACTGATGTTCCGCTCAGAGCGAACTGAAAAAAGCACTGTTAGACATGGGCGGAGCCTCTCTGGTGGTTGACTAATCAGAACAGAGTGGCCGAGCTGACCAATCGGAGCACACTGGGCTCACAGGGAGGGGGGGGCAATAGTGGAAATGGCCATGACATAATAATAATAATAGATTTGATTTATATAGCACACTTTAAAGACAAACATCATCACAAGGTGCTTCACAAAGCTATAAGGAAAAATAAGTAAAAAGATATCTAAAGGAGCATTGGAAAACTAGCCAAAATAAACCAGTACATTTGATGAAGATAAAAAGATAAGATATCCAAATCTTTTTTTACTACTTTAAAAATTGTCAAAAAGCTATGGCCAAAATTCACAGTCTGAGGAACAGTTTGTCTTGTGACATTTTCCTGACTAAAGCTTAGTCACTTAAATTTAACAAATTCAAATTCCCCTTTTGTATCATTTTGAATAGTGAGCGAAACAATGGCTTGCGTGAAAAGCAGGGGAATTAGCCTTTCGATGATGAATGATTCATGCTGTGCAGTCATTAGCGTGGCATTACATTTTCATCACTGTTAACACAAACTACATTTGGAACCCATGTTTCTGAAATATGTAGATTTGTTTTCCTCTGCCATGGCAGTACATGTGAGCAGGATATAAAGTACATGCAATCTAAATGTTTTCTTAATTATGGACTCAGTGACTTTACAAAAACTAACTACTCTCATTAAACTTGATTCTACTGCACATAATTATTAAGCTGAGCCTGGCTACTGTATATACTCAACATTCAAACTTAAATGGCTAAAGTATTATCCTTGTATACATGATACTTGCTAGATGGGAAACATATTAGTGCTACCTAGCAAACTGCCATTTATACCTAATGTATTAATAAAAGTGTTATCAAATAGCCCTTTGAACACATAGAAATGTGTCAAAGGATTATACTTGTCATGGGAGACCACTAGCAAGTATGGCAGAACATAACTACACACCAGGGTAAATAGCACTTGTTGTCTGAAATTCAGAGTTTCCAACTGATGAGTGTGTGTTAGGGAGATACAGAGATCAGGAGGGATTGGCTAGAGGGGGGAAGCCTCACCTCCCATGGCTGTGATAATTAACCAGCACTGATTGAGACTTGAATTCCCCCTCTTATCAGCCTCCCCACGGGCCCACGCTGAAGGATTGGCCCACTGAGACGACAGCAACAAAGACGAGCATACTGTGAGAGCTGGTTTAGAGATGGCAAGTGGGTACAGCGTGTGGGAACGTCAAAAACACTGCCTCATGGACAAATAATAGGAAAGCAAAATAGCTAAAAACAGCATGGTTTTTGGGCTAAATGGGTACCTACAGAGCAGTAAGACTAAAGGTTATAACCATCATTTAATGTCAGGATTTGAAATTGGGCTAACCTTTTCTGGTTGTCGGAGGAAGCCTACTAAAACTCTCGCAGTGGCAGTAGATGCCATTATCTGCTGTTTTCGAGTATGATGCTCTTTAAATCAAACTCAAGAAAACTTTTTCATTGCAGAGAGAAACTATGCCTTTAAAATACTGCTAGGATACAACACTGGTCAGCTCTAAAAGCCTAGACATGTTCAGACTAGTGCTGCATGGCGTGTTCAATGAATACAGAGCTAGTATGTGATATATCAAAAGCAAACATTTAAATAAAT